AGAAGAATCCAGATCACCAAAGTAAAAGCACAAATACAGAACATAAAGGACAAAAATATAGAAAAAAATCAGCAAAACAAAAAACCTGGTTCTTTGAAAGAATAATCAAGACTGATGGACGTGCCCCCCAGCCAAAATGACCAAGAAAAAGAGAGAAAAAGCCCAAATAAACACAATCAGAAATACAAAAGATCAGCCAGACTCAGTGGCTCAGCCTGTAATCCCGCGCCTTTGGGAGGCTGAGGTGAGTGGATTGTCTGAGGTGGGGTCTCATGTCACCCAGGCAGCAGTGCAGTGGCCGATCATGGCTCACTGCAGCCTCATCCTTCTGGGCTCAGGCAATCCTGGCACCTCAGCGTTCTGAGTAGCAGGGACTACAAGTGTGCGCCACCATGCCTGGCTAATTGCTTGTACAGATGAGGTCTTGCTATGTTGCCCTGGCTTGTCTCTAACTCCTGAACTCATGTGGTCCTCCTGTCTCCGCCTCCCAAAGTGCGGGGGTTACTGGTGTGAGCCACCGCTCCTGGCCCCTTACTACTCTTTCGTTAAACATTTCCTTTGAGCCGGGCTCGGTGGCTCAGCCTGTAATCCCTTTGGGAGGCTGAGGTGAGTGGATTGCCTGAGCCCGCGGGTTTGAGACCCGCCTGGGCAACTTGGCGAGACCTCATCTCTACAATAAAATCAAAATGAGCCGGGCGTGGTAGCACGCGCCTGTAGCACACGCCTGTAGTTCCAGCTACTCGGAAGGCTAAGGTGGAAGGATCGTCGGAGCCCAGCAGGTCGAGGCTGCGGTGGCTGGGAGCGGCTACTGCACTCCAGTCTGGGTGACAAAGTGAGACTCCGACTCAAAAAAAAAAAAAAAAAAGAAATACAAAAGATCAAATCACAACTGACCTCAGAGAAATACAAAAGATTATCGGAAATTACCATGCACACCTGTGTGGAAACAAGCTTGACAACCTAAATGAAACCAAGGACTTTCTGACATCACATAACCTCCCAAGGTTGAAACAAGACATTGAGGTATCTAAATAGACCAATAACAACCCAGGAAATTGACTCTGTCATAAGAAAACTACCTACAAAAAAAAAAAACAACCCTAGACCGGACAGCTTTCCAGAGGAATTCTACAAAACCTACAAGGATGAGCTGATACCAATCCTATTGAAACTGTTCCAGGCAATTGGAAAGACGGAATTCGTCCAAATCATTTTACGAAGCTAACTGACACACAATCTAGGTAAAGGTCCAACAACAAAAAAAAGAGAACTACAGGCCAATATCCCTAATGAACATAGATGCAAACATTTTCAACAATATTCTAGCAAATCGGATCCAACAACACATCTCAAAATTCATCCACCATGATGAAGTAGGCTTCATACCCAGGATGCAGGGTCTGTTCAACATCCACAAGTTCATAAATGTAATTAAATACATCAACAGATGCAACAAGAACCACATGATTATATCATTAGATGCAGAAAAAGTTTTGGATGAAATCTAGCATCACTTCTTAATAAAAACCCTCAAGCCCCTAAGCATAGAAGGAACATACCTCAAAATAGTAAGCACCATCTACGATAAACCCCAGTTAGCATACTGATAAATGGGCAGAAACTTGGAAAAATTTCCCCAGAAAAACAAAACAAGACAAGGCTGCCCACTCTTACCCCTCTTGTTTAATATGTGCTGAAAGTCCTAGCTAGAGCAATTAGAGAAGAGAAGGAAATCAGGGGTACCCAAGTAGTAAAAGAAGAAGTTAAGTTATCCTTCTTTACTGACAATATGATCCTATTCCTCCAAACCCAAGGAAATCTGTCAAAATCCTGCTTTCACTGATAAAGGACTTTGGCAAAGTCTTGGCGTATGAATTAAATGTGCGAAAGAAAGACAGTTGCATTCTTATACACCAACAACAAGCAGGCAGAGAACCAAATAAAAAGCACAAATCCATTCACAATAGGCACAGAAAAAATGAAATATCTTGGCATCGTCCTAACCAGAGAAGTGAAAGACCTTTACAATGAAAACTACAAAACAGTGCGCTCAAAGAAATCCAAGAAGACACAAACAAATGGAAAAATATTCCATGCTCATGGATAGAAAGAATCAACATTGTTAAGATGTTCATCCTACACAAAGCAGATTCAATGCAATACCCATTAAATTACCAAAATCATTCTTCTCAGACCTAGAAACAACAATAAAGAAATTCATATGGAAACAAAAATGACCACAAGCCAAAACAATCCTCAGCAAAAGAAACAAAGTGGAAAGTAGCATACTTATAGACTTTAAACTCTACTATAAGGCTACAATAATCAAAACAGCCTACTACTGGTACAAGAATAGGCATATGAACCAATGGAACAGTATAGAGATTCTGGAGGCAAAAACCTCAATTTCTCAACCAACTCATGTTTGACAAAGCCTCCACCAACAACCACTAGGGAGCAGAGAACCTATTCAGTAAATGGTGCTGGGAAAACTGGCTGACCACATGCAGAAGATTGAAATAGGACCCCTACTTACCACCATACATAAAAATCAATTTTAAATAACTCAAAGACCTAAATGTAAAACCTCAAACTATAAAAACCTTACAAAATGCAGGAGACATCCTTATGGAAATTGGAACTGGCAACCAATTCCAGATCAAACACCAAGTGCCCATGCCCTATGAGACAAGATAGACAAGTGGAACCTTAGAAAATGCAGGAGATACTCTTATGCACATTGAAATGGACAACTAATTCCTGATTATAATCCCTAAAGCAAATGCCATAAGAGATAAGATAGACAAATGGGACCTCATCAAATTGAAAAGCTTTTGCAAAGCAAAACAAACCATCAAGAGAGTGGGGAGACAATCCACAGAATGGGCAAAAATATCTGCCCACTGTATACCTGATAAAGGCCTAGCATCCAGATCTGTAAGGAACTCAAATGTGCCAAGAAGAAAAAAACAAACAGCCCCATTATAAAGTGGGTAAAAGCCATGAATAGACACTTCTCAAAAGAAGACACATGGGTGGCCAACAGACACATGAAAAACTGCTCAGCCACACTAATCATCAGAGAAATGCAAATCTAAACCACATTGAGATACCACCTAACTTCAGTAAGAATGGCCATCATTAATAAAACAACAGATGCTGGCGAGGATGTGGAGAAAAAGGAATGCTTCTACAGTTGGTGGAATGCAAACTAGTGCAACCTCTTTGAAAAACAGTGTGGCGATTTCTAAAAGAACTAGACATCAATCTTCCATATGACCCAGCAATCTGGGACTATACCCAGAGGAACTCAAATCATTCTACCAAAAGGATACCTGCACATGCGTGTTTATCGCAACACTATTCACAACAGCAAAAACATGGAACCACCTGTGCTTCCCATCAAACCTGGACTGGATAAAACAAATGTGGTACACGTACACGTTGGAATATTATGCAGCCATAAAGAAGGACAAAAATATGAACTTTGCAGCAACTTGGATGGACTTAAAGTCTATCATACTAAGTGATCCCACAGAAACAAAGAACTGAGTATCACATGTTCTCACTCATAAGCAGACCCTGAACATTTACTGTAATACTATAAGGGATTGGTGGCCGGGCTCAGTGGCTCAGCCTGTAATCCCGCGCTTTGGGAGGCCGAGGTGAGTGGATTGCCTGAGGCCGCGGGTTCGAGACCCACCTGGGCAACTTGGTGAGACCTCATCTCTACAATAAATAAAAAATTAGCTGGGCATGGTAGTGCGTGCCTGTAGTTCCAGCTACTTGGAAGGCTGAGGCGGAAGGATCACCGGAGCCCAGCAGGTCGAGGCTGCAGTGACTGGGAGCAGCCACTGCACTCCTGTCTGGGCGACAGAGTGAGACTCCAACTCAAAAAAAAAAAAAAGAAAGGGATTGGTAGTAGTGGGATACCGCCGGTGGGTAGAGGGGATACACACACAACATCAATAAGTACCTGATCTCAAACCAGGCAAAGTGGGGACCAAAGGGAGGCCCAAACTTTACCTGTACAATAACTATTTGTATACCTAATTCTGAATTGTACCCTACATCTTTAAATCAGAAAAGAATTATAAAAATAAAAATTGTGAGAATTATGTGAGAATATGCTTTTTAAGTGCCTGGTATTTATGTCTGGTAAGATAGGAATAATCTATATTCACCCCATTTAAAAATGGCAAGTCAGGTATATTCTTCATTAGATTGCTCCTCAGAGGGGCTCTGAGAATTAAGTTAGTGATTGTAAAAAAAAATTTCGAAGGCTACTACTAGTAAGTGAAATAATAATTAATGCCACATTAGTTTCCATTGATTTTTATTGTTGGATGGTGTTATACTCTGAAATAGCATAACAGAGGTGTTTTGAACAAAACAAAACAAAAAAGCTTTGTCATCACCTAAAGTCTACTATTTACTGTATTATTATTTTTTTCTTTATTTTTCTGTTTTGGTAGAGGTTTGGAAAGGCAGATGGAATCTGCTAGAAAAGAAAACATGAGAGAAATGGAAAATTCTTACTATTTCCAATAAAAGCAAATAATTATTTTCTTCTTCATCCTGTTAGCCCAACAGACAAACAGTCCATTTCTCAATAATTATTCCCAATACAAATTTTTTTACAAACACAGAAAATATAAAGAGAGTACAATGAACAGCCCCACATAAAAGTCACCCAAATCCAATAATTATTTAGATTTTGTCACATCTGATTCATTTTGATAGAGAATTTTTAATCCTTAGATTACCAAAGACTTTCTATTATGGGCCACCTGCTAGGACTGGAAACATCTTTGTTAGATAAGTCTTTTTAAGTCTTCTCATTTAAGAAGAGATTACTTATATTTCTTTTCAGCTTGGTTGCATGGCTTTTTAAAAACATATTACCATAAGTGGAAATAAAAGGAAAAGAGTTCCCTAAAGGAGATTTTAGTAGAATGAACCATTATAAAAGAAAAAACTTTTTGTTTTTATTCTCTCACCAGCTCCAGGACTGAACTCCATGATAATAATAGTGCAAAATCCACTGTATTGCCTGAACATAACATGCAGCTTGATCAGCCAGAAAGTCACTGAAAATAAGAAGGAATATTTTCATTATAACTTTATCTTTTGAAGCCAGACCAGTGTCTTTAGAGTATATTTGCTGATATAACATTTAGCTCACATGGTTTATTTAACAAATTAGCTAAAATTTACAGCTAAAAATTATAATCAGAACTCAATTATATTTTAAAAATTTGCCTTACAGAATTCCTAAACCAATTATGAAAATAGTTAAATCTGCTATGTATATTTACTCGGATAATCTACTATGACTTTGGTTCAAAGTTTGAAGATATACCCAATGAAACTTTTACAAAGTAACACTCTTACTCTTTTAAATAGTGGGATTGGGGATGGTGAGAAGGATAGGGATTTTCTTTATAAGGGAGGATACCTGAGAGAACTAAAGGAGCAAATCAGGAAGATCTTAAAATCTGGTTATAGCAACTCGTACACTCTTTGAAAAGTGCTATACCTGCCGAACAATATTCTACTCTAATCTCTTCTTTCTCAAAAACCAAGCATCATCATTTAAAATTTGGGTAAAATAAATCTTCAAATCGAGAGAGAGAGAGAGAGAGAGAGAAGAAAGTCATAGAAAAAAAGTCAAAAATGGTCACTTAATCCCATATTTCCATCTTTCTGGGAGGTATGGTTTTAACATGAAATAGTTTACTTTTTTATTATGAAACACATACTTCCTTATTACTGAAAATCCACATAATAAAGAAAAGCATTTTTAAAAATCACCTTATAGCAATTACAATTACATTCTGAAATGTTTCTCTCAATCTTTTTTCCAATATCCAGTTTGGTTTTTTAAAAAGTATTAATGAGACGATACCATACATATAATTTTGTGTCCTGCCTTTACAATCTGTACTTAGCAATATACTATAAGCATCTTTCCAAATTGTTATGAGCTTCCTGCAAGTAGCAGTTCATCAGTTCTGCATATTCTGGGGATGGGAGAGGTGACAAGGACAGTGATAGTGATGATGAGTCAGAGGCTGATTATGATGAACCTTCTTATTGGATATTTAGGTTATTTTTTATTTCTTTTTTTTTGAGCTGGAGTCTCACTCTGTCGCCCAGACTGGAGCACAGTGGCCGCTCCCAGCCACCACAGCCTCGACCTGCTAGGCTCTGGCGATCCTTCCGCCTCAGCCTTCCAAGTAGCTGGAACTACAGGTGCGTGCTATCACGCCCGGCTAATTTTTTGATTTATTGTAGACATGAGGTCCCGCCAAGTTACCCAGGTGGGTCTCAAACCCGCAGGCTCAGGCAATCCACTCACCTCAGCCTTCCAAAGCGCAGGATTACAGGCTAAGCCACCGAGTCTGGCTTCTTATTTCTTATTATAAATAGCCTTGCAGTAAACATCCTTGTGTACAGGATCATTTTCTCTTTGGCTATCTTTACCACAGGAATATAGTATGTGTCAGAATTAATATCACCATCCCCAAAACCATCCTAGTTAAAAGATCTACAGTTATTCATGAAACCAAAAAACCCTTTTTTCTGTCACTACTGAAGAACTGCAAAATCTTATTTTTTCTACTTTAAAGCAAAATCATTGGCAAAATACATACTCAGACACTACGTCAACCCCCATCTTCGTCATGTAATACGTTCTTTTATATTGTCTAAACTCAGTCTCAAATAGGTCATCATCTTCAGTCTCATCTTCTAAATTATCTGAGGAAAAAGCCAGAAAGATAGTTACTGATGATTATGAATATCTTGTTTACCTACCTAATGCTTTCATAAATGCATATCACAGTTGATGCTTATAAGCTATCATAGAAATGTTCCACTTAATATTAGAAGAGGTATAACAGCTATTCTGTCAAAGTAATAATACCGGTATATCAAAATATAGTTTGTACTCACCCTTTGAAGCTACCACTTCGCCTTCATTTTTGTCTAAAGCAGCCCAACATGCAGCATTTTCCTGGCTCTGTAAATTATAAATCAATGTAACATGAATGGCAAAATATATTTCTTTTCTTTTCTTTTCTTTTTTGAGTCAGAGTCTCACTCTGTTGCCCAGGCTGGGGTGCAGTGGCACGCTGCTCATGACCACTGCAGTCTCAAACTGCTGGGTTTAGGTGATCCAGCTTCCACGTAGCTGGAACTACAGGCATGCGCGAATACTTATTGTAGAGACAAGGTCTCACCATGTTGCCCTGGCTGGTCTTGAACCTGCAGGCTCAGGCAATCCTCTCACCTCTGCCTCCCAAAGTGCTGGGATTACAGGCATGAGCCACTGTGCCCAGCTGGCAAGATATATTTCAAAGTGAAACATTCAACAGGGAAATTGTAAAAATTCTAAAAATAACTGAAATGATTCTCAAATGTACATTTATACATTATTTAAGTGTTCTCATTGTTTGTGTTCTAAGGCTATACATTTTCATTATGTAGCACTTAGGCCTTTCAGAGGTATATAAAAAGTAATTCTCACCAACATAACAAAAAAATATATTTAGTTATATATGTGTTCCAAGAAAAAAAATACTTCAGAACTATTTCATTTACTTAAAGAAAACTACAGAGTCAATATCAAATCCTTTTATCCTTTGTCAATTTTAACTTTTTTTTTCAATAGAGGTTTCACTCTTGTCACCCAGGCTGTAGTGCAGTGGCATGATCATGGCTAAATGCAGCCTTGAATTCTTGGGCTCAAGCAATCCTCTCACCTCAGCCTCCCTTGTAGCTGGGACTAGAGGCATGCACTACCATGCCCAGATAGTTTTTTTTATTTTTTATTTTTTGTAGAGACAAGGTCTTACTATGTACTTAACATTTGTACTTAGTACTATATTATAAGCATCTTTTCAAATTACTATGAACTTCCTGTAAGTACCAGTTTAGCAGTTCTGCAGAACTTGTGGGCTCAAGAAATTCTCTCGCCTTGACCTTCCAAAGTGCTGGAATTACAGGTGTGAGCCACAATGCCCGGCTGATTTTAACATTTCTATACATCAAATTCTGAGCTACTTTAACAGGGTCTATTTCTTTATGCTTGAATTCAATGGTTACAAATGTTACTGATTTTCTGTATCTCTGGATCCTGCCATTCGTAAGACTGTTATCTATCTTCTACTTCTTCATTTCTATTTCATGCAACCTTTTTGCTTTTCTATATTTCTTCCATTTTATGACATCCTTCACACTGTGCCCATCTGTTTTTCTCCCTGTGATCTGTTTTTCTCTTCTCTATTCTCTGATTATCTGCCTACTGCCACTAACTCCCTCTAGTCCTTCTACTCCCTTATCATCATTTTATTTTCTTCATCCAATCTATGCTCTCGACCAACTTCCTATGCCTGGGCTATTCCTGCACAGTGTCTGTAATGTTAGCCGTGTATGGCTGGAAGACAGGTGAAGTTTAAAGACTGAGCTGAGGCAAGGGGAGCCAGGCATTACTGACAGGCAAGTTTTGTGTGTTCAGGTTCCCCAAAAGTTACAGAGCCTGTTTTCTTAGGAGAAAAAAACAGTGGAATACAGACTGAATGTTGCCAAGTTCCACTGAGGAAAAGCTAAGTAATTAGAAGGACTATGTTAGCAAAACTCAGGATAGTTGGTGCAAGAGTTATTAGGTTTAAACCTAAATAGAACCAGTATAGCAAAGAGAGTACAAGTAATTATGGAAAGGCTGAGGAGATTTTCAGAAAAGGTTTAATTTTCAGGTTAACCTAAGACATTCTTTGGAGCTTATTAAAGATGCTTTCTAGGACACTAGTATATTCTAACTGATTCTATTACTCATTTATTAAGTGCATAACATTTATTAGATATTGCACTATTAATTATTCTTAGCCTAGCCTACTGTATTTCATATGATTTTTTAAATATAAATTCTTTCTAGAGAAAAAAATAACTGATCTAATTAATGCCTCATAACAAAAGATAGTATAAATATTCATCTTTTGAAAATTAGCTCATTGTTTTTAAATAACATGTTTTAAATAATTGCCTTTTAAAAGTAATTCATTTTCTGGGCTCTTGTATTTGGAAATGTTTTCCACAATTTTAAATAGAATGGAAGAACAAAGAACACACAATGTTCTTCAATGGTAAAAATAAGAAAATGACTTTTAAGGATCAGATTTAATGACAGAATCTAATAGAGAAAAAGAAACCAAAACAATTTCTTAAATGCCTATGGAGAAGAAATGAAAATAAAATGAAGAAACCCCAAAATCACAAGAAGGAAAATGAGAAACAAGGAATATCAGTTTTACCTTTACAGCTAAAACAATGAAAGGACACCTTAAAAAATGGACACCTTTAATTTTTTCTTTTCCTTGTAGTTCTTGGCTTCTTCTGCTGCAACACCTGCTGCTTCATTGAGGTACTTATTACCAATTTTGCTTTCAAACCACTTTAGGTCCACAAAAACTTCACTGAAGTGTTCCCGATCAAACTGTACAGAAATATTTAAATTCACTTAAAAATAATTTCAGTATGTCTGGAATACAAACCAATATCTAACAGTGATACTTCTGGGGTACAGAAAATTGGAGCATGTCACTGTTTTACATGCATGAGGACCTCATTTGTTACTCTAAAAATTATAAACAAAAAGTAAATAAAAATAACATTAACTTAGGTAAAACTATTTAAACTGAATAAGTAAATGGAATAGCATCATAAAACCCTTTTTTTCTGGTATTATGTGGTTACCAATGATTCATAGCTACTCTGGGACAGGAAAACAAAAACTTCTAGTCACTTACATCTGATAGTTTCACAAGGTATTTCTCAAATCGAGGTAAGTTGAGATGTCCACTTTCATTAATATAACCTAGAAGGAACAAAATCTTAATTTGTACTAAAAACTGACATTATTTTTTCTAAACAATTCTACAAAATTCTTTCCACAAAATGCTGAATGTTAACATTCCACAATAATAATAAAGAAAAAGCACTTAGTGTTGGACTATATGTAAACTAGCCCTTGTTTCTATGAACTCTATGCTACCATAATATACGATATGTAACTAATGCAGCAAAATATAAAAACTTTCAGGTTCACATAATAATCACCCTCCCACATTTCCAACAATATTTGGTAATGATTAATTAAATCAAATATGTTCTTGAACCTAACTAGATCATTCAATTTGATATGCTAACAAGAAATGGACTAATGTTCTGCTACTGTTATCTGTCTTATTCAGTGTATCACTCTTTAAGTCAGTTTTCCATTTTAGTTGAAAACTCTTTCCTTCATATTAAATACTCTGATGCATAGATATTCAGAAATATTGAATTTCTATACTTAAATATGAAAGGAGTTAAGTGAAACCAATAAGTTTTGCTAGTTTTAAGAAATTAAAGGCAAAGATTAGTTAGGTATCAGTAAGTGAGGTTGTTCAACTATGTTCACTTTCTTTTTTTGTGAATTAATGAAAACAACCTCAGAGCTTAGCATCTTGTATTAAAAGAAACTCTCAATGCTTTTTCTACTTTAGCTGTGCATGTTAATAAGCTGAGTGACATTTTTAGGGTAAGTCGGCGCTAAATTAAGCAGCCTTGAGTGAGTATTAAATTTTTCTTACCCCCAAGTTCTGGCAGGATGGCAATATATGTTCCATAAAGAAGAGGCAGTGCATCATGACTAATATGTAAATGAGGTAGATGAGGGATAAAATCGTTGCCAACAAGAAATCCCATCAAAATCCAATCATCTATTATCCTTTCAATATCATATTTAAATGTAATCTTTTCCTATGGTAAAATGGAGAACAAAGTAAAATCTAATGGAAATTTCTGCATACAAATCCTTGGTCCATGGCTACATTAATACTTACTTTTAATACTGAAAACTCATAGTCAATATATTCTCTCATTAAAGACAAATGTAGAAGATGAAATGTGGTTTCCTCTGGAGCACATACCCTGCAATAAGTCAGATGATCAAGACAGAGTGAATTATATTTTCTTTTCTTTTCTTTTTTTTTTTTTTTTGAGTTGGAGTCTCACTCTGTCACCCAGACTGGAGTGCAATGGCCGCTCCCGGCCACCACAGCCTCGACCTGCTGGGCTCCGGCGATCCATCCGCCTCAGCCTTCCAAGTAGCTGGAACTACAGGCGCGCGCTACCACGCCCGGCTAATTTTTTTGATTTATTGTAGCGATGAGGTCTCGCCAAGTTGCCCAGGCAGGTCTCGAACCCGCGGGCTCAGTCAATTCACTCACCTCGGTCTCCCAAAGCGTGGATTACAGGCTGAGCCACCGAGCCCAGCCAAATTATATTTTCTTAATGTCCAAGTTGAAAATATATAGCAAAGCTTAGAATTATTATTAGAAGATAACTGACTTAAAAATTAAGGGATGCAAGTTATATGAAAGTTGCAGGGTAATATAAAGATAAAAATATAATTATAATAGATAAAACATGATAAAGTTTAAAACAATTGGTTTACATTATGCTTTCTGTGGAAGAATTCTCAGAATTAAGAAGCCCTAAATAACATATAATAGAAGTAATAAACCAATGAGATCTGGCCCATTTAAGGTTGGCCATCAGCAGAAAGGATACACACGGATAAGTGAAAATATACTTTTATATCTACTGCAGCACAGTAATGGTGAAGCAGTATCACTTCTTCCTCTTATCTTTCCCTTGATTGGTAAAGGGGTCTATATTCCTGGCTGTTTGTCTATAGTTTAACTACAAGTAAAAATATAAGGGGACAATAGCATATTAAAAGTATTATGTACCATGTTCAAGTGGGATTTATTCTGGGAATGTAAAGATAGTTCAAGATAAGAAAATCAATCAGTGTAACATACCATGTTAAAAGAATGAAATGGGAAAAAATCCTACATGATCATTTTTCAGAAAAAGCATTCAACAATATTCAACATTGTTTCATGATAAAAATACTCAGCAGACCAAGAATAAAAGTGAACTTCCTTAGTATGATAAAGGGTATTTACGAAAATGCACAGATTACATTATATTCAATAGTGAAAGACTAAAAGCTTTTCCTCCTAAGATCAAATGTCACTTCACCACAGCTATTCAACACTTCTCTGAAAGTTCTGGCCAGAACACTTAGACAAGCAAAATAAATAAAATGCATCCATATTGAAAAGAAAAACGTAAAATTATATCTATTTATGGACAGTATGGTTCTATACATTAAAAAAACCTCCACAAAAAACTACTAAAGTTACAAAGCCAATTCAGCACAGCTGCAGTGTCTATGATCAACACACAAAACCATCCCAAAAGGAAATTAAGAAAACAATTCCATCCACAATAGCATCCAAAAGAATAAGATACTTTAAAAATAAAGTTAACCAAGGAGCCAAAAGACTTGTACATTGAAAACTACAAAAAGTTGCAGAAAGAAATTAAAGATACAAATGAATGGAAAGACATCCTGTGTTCATGGATTGGAACATCAAGAAATAAATACTGGCCAAAGAGATCTACAGATTCAATGCAATCCCTTTCAAAATTCCAATTATGTTTTTTTACAAAAATTAAAAAAATCCATCCTAAAAATCCTATGGAATTTCAGGAGACTCTGAAAAAGAACAAAGATGGAGGTCTCACTCTTCCCGATTTCAAAACTTACTAAAGAGTTATAGTAATCTAAATATTGTGGTACTGACATGAAGACAGACATACAGACCAACAGAATACAACAAAGAGCCCCCAAAATAAAAACATGTATGTATGGTCAAATGATTTTTGACCAGGGGGCCAAGACAGTCAAAGAAGAAAGAACAGTATTTTCAACAAATGGTGCTGGGAAGACTGGATAGTTTCATGGAAATGAATGAAGTTGGACCCTTACTTTACCCCACAGACTAACATCAACTCACAATGGAACAGACATCTAACCACAACAGTTAAAACTATAAAAATCTGAAAATAAAATATAATAAAAAGTTTTGTGACACTGGATTTAACAAAAATTTCTTGGCTATGTTATACTAAAAGCACAGGCAACAAAATAAAAAAAATAGATGAATCTGACGCCATCTAAATTAAAAACTTTTGCACATCAAAGGACACTATCAAGAGAGTGAAATGGCAACCCATGGAATGAGAGAAAATATTTGCAAATCATGTATTTGTTAAGGAATTACTATTCAGGCTTAATTTCAGTTCTTTTTCCAACATACATGCTATATGATTTACCTCTGTGTTTTTTTGCCACCAAATCGAACTTCTTCTCTTAAGAGAGAAAAATGTGCCTCATGACTTGTTAATCCAAGCATAATCTGTTGAAAAATAATTAATATTTCTATTATCCTACCATTTAATAATATTTGGTTCATAAAAGCAATGAAATAAAATTCATTTCTGACATAGAAGAATAATGAAACAACTAGCACATTAAATATTCAAATACCAAAATATAATCCATTTGTAAGTCATGACTGGGATAAAGTGTGTGTACTTTTCTAAGAAATGAATGTTCACCTTAGACTCTCATGACCTTTATAACAACTGTCTTGACCCTTCCCTACTTCCTACCACCCCCTGATACCAAAAACCTTCTCCTGGTTTACACACATTTTTATTTGCCATGCAGGAAGGAGTTAGAAAGTAGAGGAAGCAGCTTTCCTATGACAAAAGGACACAGGGCTCTTTTGGAGGCCAGGATAGACCCAGGATATGAAAACTCAGAAGAAAAAAAAAGTACTGTTTAATTTTCTTGCATAGTATTATAATATTCAGAGTAAGTCAAAAGCATATTGAGACATATCAGTCAATTTCTATGTATCTGTTTATTGTTTATTTCAATCCTGAGTCAAATAACAAAAAAATGAAACCACTTATGAGGTGATTAGAGAAACGATAATACTAACTGGTTATTTCTATATTAAGCAATGATTGTTAATTTCTGTTTTATATGGGATAAAGGTATTGTGGTTGTATATTTTTAAAAATACTTTTCCTTTAGAGAACATTATTAAATATGTAAAGACTAAATGATATGCTGTTTAGTACTTGCTTTAATAACCCAGTGGGGCAGGACACAGAGGAGACAGATGATTAGGGAAAGGAATTAAAAATTATTTAAGGCAGATGTAAGGTACAAGGAGATTTATTATACTACCTTGTCTAATTTTGTTTATGCTTGAAATTTCCTATAACAAAAAGTTAAAAAGAAAAGTCTAGTAAAAGTATTTGGGCCAGCCAAAGTGGCTTAAGCCTATAATCCCAGCACTTTGGGAGGTCAAGGTGAGGGGATTGATTGCCTGAGCCCATGGGTTCAAGAATAGCCTGGGAAACTTGGTGAGAACTCACCTCTACAATAAATCAAAAAATTAATTGGGCATGGTAGTGCGCGCCTGTAGTTCTGGCTACTTGGAAGGCTGAGGTGGAAGGATCGCTGGAGCCTAGCAGGTCGACGCAGGGGTAGCCATGAGTGTGCCACTGAACTCCAGCCTGGGCAATGGAGTGAGACTCCAACTCAGAAAAAAAAAATATTTGGAACATAGAGTTGTCAGATAAGGAGGTATTAAAAGTCATGTATTAGGCTTAGGATAAAAAGGGCCCTCCCTTCCCTAACCTCAGCAGAGTATTCATTGCACTAGAGTTAGTCAGGTCTATAGGTTAACTATAGGGAACTACTGATCATAAACTATGGCAAAAAAGCTCACTTTCCAATTATTTTAGAGCTTGAATAATGACAGAAAGAGCAATTATTATTGTCTCCAATATATGATGCCATAGCCAGTAAGCTTCCGGTATAAAACAAAGTCTCTTAGATATTTACCTACAATGGCATAAGATTATAATAACAATAAACATTATACCTACCAAGTCGGCATCTAAACCATAAAGACAGTGTCTGGTATTTGGATCATGATCTGGCTTTGCTTTCTCGGATCTGATAAATTCCATGATTTTATGTTCTCCTTCTCCGGGAGTCTAAATATAAAGTTTTTTTTAAAAAGGTGGTAATATGCTATACTTGAGAATACTAAATAAAAATTTTAAAACTCTTTAAATAAAAAAAAAAGATAATAACCTCATGGCCTGAAAAATAGATGGTGACTCCTTGCCATGACTTGTCTGTGGAAATTTTCATATTTACAAAATACTTCAGATGTTCATGTAACCTGGCCATGAATTCAGTTCCTAAAAATAAAAATTTTTAAAAAGGTTAATCTGAGAAAGACATAAAAACAGTGTTTTCCCTGTGATAATGTATAATCAAATCTGCATATAATCAGATCTGCATATCCGGGGAATAACCACATACAGAATCTCCAAAAAAGGTCAACAGCTTTCTTGCTTATACTGAAAAAATAAGTAATGCTGTACCTTTTCATAGCAGAAATCACACTAATTATCCTAAATAAAATCACTGTCACACAGGGAAAGTCAAGGAATTTTACTACTGTCTCAGAATTGTGCTTCAAGTATTGTCACATAAGTGTAGAGTTTGGACTTTGTAACAAAGCTCAACCTTCTAATCTTCAGCTAGATTCTGAAAGTTGTTTTTTTTCAGGCATGAGCTTAAATTGGGTTTTCAATAATAATAACAACTATTATTACTACTGAAATTATTAATCTAGAAAACTAATATTAATTTGGAAATTGAGTCTACAATAATTATGTTTTGGGAAAAGCCCAGAAATATCTGGTTAATAGTCAAAAACAGTATAGTCTAAACCACAATCAGGATAAAACTAGTTGTTAAATTGAGCAATGTGTGGCTAGTGGACTTAATGAAAGGGAAAATTACCATTGTTAGTAAATAACTTATAAGAAAGGTTGATTTTTAAGATTTTTGTTCAAAGTAAAGGCTAATAATGTTAGACAATCCCTCTACGAGTATGCTGCTACATATAAAATTTAAATTACACATAATACTGATAAATTATCTTTTTTTTCTTTTAATTTTTTTTATTTTAAAAATGTGGGATACAATTCAGGGTTAGGTATACAAATGTTCACTATCACAATTTTTAAAGTCACGGACTCTTAACTCCCTTTGAGACATAGAGTAGCAAGTGCTCTGGATTAGGAGAATGAGTTTCTATCTTGAACAGCACAAGCTAGCTACATGAACTCGGTAAGCCACAAACTCACTTAGTCTGTTTTCATATTAATAAATGGCAGAAGTCGGATCGAAAGATCTTGTAAGTTCCTTCTAGGTCTGGAATTCTGTATACCCAGGAGATTCCTGTCCATATTTGCTCTTATTAACATCTGAAAATCCCTACAGGTAGGTTTTTATAGGAGTACTAATGATCAAGGGGACCAAAACACTTCATGAGCAGACACAAGGGGGAAAATTCAGTAAATGGAATCCTAAGGCCAAAATAAACAGAGCACAGAAAATCAAAGTACATTTGAAAAAATAAGTTTTCAATTTATATTTGAATTCTCTCAGAATTTTTCTCTCAACGAATTTACCTGGCGTAATACAGTTGGAATCAAATCTGGCCTCTGTAGGAAGAGTTTCTCCCTTTTCTATTGCCTTTTTAATCTTGTCTTCTGCCTCCTTTGCTGACCTTAAAGGTTAAGGAAAAATTATCTCAAACTTTCTGGAAAAAAAGTAAAGATCTTAACACAAACTGTTATTTAGATGCTTATATAACTAAAATACTAATTCATCACTTATAAGACTCAAAACATGTAAAAGTTTTGAAATAATTATGATTGACACAGGTAAGCCCCAGAATTGTTTGCTTTTGTTTATTTACATTTTTCAGATAAAGAATAGTAAACAGTAAAAAACTCATAGAGAATATTATAAACACTTATAAAGTAATTCTTGTCACAAACATATGGCAAATCATTCTAGAAACAAGATCAAAAGTACAGTTTTAAATGTTCATTACATATACTACATCTAGTAACACTATCATTTGATGATCTTTTTTTTTTTTTTTTTTTTTTGAGTTGGAGTCTCACTCTGTTGCCCAGACTGGAGTGCAGTGGCCGCTCCCGGCCGCAGCCTCGACCTGCTGGGCTCCAGCGATCCTTCTGCCTCAGCCTTCAAAGTTGCTGGAATTACAGGCATGCGCTACCATGCCTGGCTGATTTTTTTGATTTATTATAGGGATGAGGTCTCGCTGCCCAGGCGGGTCTCGAACCCGCGGGCTCAGGCAATTCACTCACCTCAGCCTCCCAAAGGTGCAGCTGAGCCACTGAGCCCGGCTTCATTTGATGATCTTAAACAAATCATTTAAAGAGCCTGAGAATATTATATAAATATACAATTAAAAAATTGTAATGTTTGTCTTTGTGTTTCCTCTTAAAATATATATATATTTTTTAGTTGGAGTCTCACTGTCGCCCAGGCTGGAATGCAGTGGCATGATCATGGCCACGACAGTCTCAGCCTGCTGGACTCAGGTGATCCTTCTGCTTCAGCCTTCCAAGTAGCTGGAACTACAGGTATATGCCACCATGCCCAGCAAATTTTTTGATTTATTGTAGAGATGAAATCTCACCAAGTTGCCCAGGCTGGACTCGAACCCATGGGCTCAGGCAATCCTCTCACCTCGACCTCCCAAAGTACTGGGATTATAGGGATGAGCCACCATGCCCAGTTTAAAAATATTTAAAATGAAAGCTTAATAACATTAATGACATTGATTGTCAAATCATCATATTTTTTAGGGAAAATAATTTACTAGAAAGAACATGAACTCAGGAATCAGACAGGTCTAGATTTAAATACAGGTGTCCCACTTTCTGTCTGGCTTCTCCTGTAACCCCTTTGCAATGTAAACCACAAGGCATGCAAGTTATGAAGCTCTATTAATTCTACCTGTTGTACCCTACAGAATTCTAACTTCTATGATGAACAAGCTCTTCTTCATATTAAACCTCTCTCTTTCCAGTCTCTTTTTTCCCCATTGAAGACAGCTGTGATCCTTACCTCTGTAACATAACAAAAACTTGTTTGTAATCTCTGTAATGTTTTCTTTCCTTTTTACTCCATGTCCTTCTTTGACTGAATGAATGACTATTCAGTGTGACAAGGTCTTTGGGATATAACCAAAGAGAAATTATTCCTGTTCTTTGCAGCTTTACATTTTAGTGGGGAGACAGAAAATCAAGCAGCCATAATGTTTAATCAGGTTGAAATAGAGAAAATGTTTGAGACAGGGACAATGTAAGATAATGGAAGTAATTTGGATGAAGACAATGGTAGTCTACAGCTGAGATAGTGGCATTAAAGATCAAAGTAGATAGATGTGACAAACTTAGGAGACGGGATAAAAAGGAGGACTTGGATGTGGAAAATGAATAAGAGAGAGAAGTCTAAATAATTCTTGGACTTTTGGGTTAAGGAAGCTAGGTGGATGGTGCTGTCATTCACTGAAACAGAAAACATGGAAGAAAGGCTGTTTTGAGGGGATGAATTCAGTTCTAAGTATCTGAAGGCTGAAGTATATCTGGAGTACCCATAAGGAGACATTCAGTAGGCATTTGGATATATAGGAATTTAGGAGAGAGGGTTCATGAGAAAGTGATCAGTACAGACATAGCAATCAAGGCCACTGGATGAATCACTCAGGTCCTAGGACAGAACCTTAAGAAACATTAATGTTTAAGGAAAAAAAGCAGAGAAAGAGAAGAAGACAAGGAGCAAGAATGTGCAATCAAAGAGAGAATGTGGTTATGTGAAGGTCAAGAAAAAGGAGAAGTTCAAGAAAGAATGGTCAAGAAAGAATGTTTAAATGCTGTGTATAAATAAAGATAAAGAAAGAATCATTCTTTGGATTTAGTTATAATCATGTAAGAAAATTTTACTGAGCCGGGCTCGGTGGCTCAGCCTGTAATCCCGCGCCTTGGGAGGCTGAGGTGAGTGGACTGCCTGAGCCCGTGGGTTCGAGACTCGCCTGGGCAACTTGGTGAGAACTCATCTTTACAATAAATCAAAAAAAAAATTAGCCGGGTGTGGTAGCGCACGCCTGTAATTCCAGCTACTTGGAAGGCTGAGGCGGAAGGATCGCAGAAGCCCAGCAGGTGGAGGCTGCAGTTGCCAGAGGCGTGCCACTACACTCCAATCTGGGTGACAGAGTGAGACTCCAACTCAAAAAGAAAAGAAAAGAAAAGAAAATTTTACTGGTATGATGAAGAAAAAAGATAGAAGGCAGATTTAGAATTGAGTAAAATAGGAGGAATTAAAGATTATGAACAGAGAAAGTATCACTGTAGAGAATGACAACAAGTTGAGCAGGGGGATTTCTGGAAAAATGGAACACTCAGTGTCAGGAGAGTATTTAATAAATGCTTCTGGTAGTTATAATGGATTAGCCCTCAACCTTCATTCCACTCTCTTTCTAGTTTGCCTTCTGGTATTAGAGAGGTTGGAAAGCTCTCAGGCTTCCATGAAGCTAGGTTTCCAGATATGACTTAGATTTTGTCAATTAGATGCCTCCATTAAGGGTTTGGAAGGTGGAAGTGTGGTGATTTCTTTATGATAGTTTAGACACTGGGGCTCTGGAGTGTGTGTCTGTGTGTAATTTCAGCAATGGCAGAGAAGATTCCAGTATTCAGTAGTTTGTAGGTTCTGAGAAGCAAGGAATAAGGTGTTCGGTTTTTTTCAGCATAGATCTAGCAGATGCAGTAGGGCTCTGGAACTAACAGATGCAGTGGTAGCTTTCTGATTGCTGGCTTGTAACTAAAGTGATGCACTGTTAGAGCCCTGGGTGGTAGCTTCTTAATCCCTGGATCACAGCTAAAGGAATAAGTTCCTGGAGTCACCCATTCTGGTAGAGGCCTTTGAACTCCTCACCTATCTGAATATGGTAAAAGTAGTGTCACTGGTGGGCTAGTTCTATCATGTTGTTTTGGAAGCCATTCCTGAAGGATCACCTAGATTCCCCCACCTTTTTACTTTTGCAGTTTTTTTTAAATAAGTACCTAATACCCTGTATTAACTCCTTTCAGCTTAAAAGAGCTAGTATACTTTCTCTTACCTGCAACTGAACACTGACTGATACAGTAGGTTTATAAAATCCTTCCTTAACACTAGATTTTCTAGGCTAGTGGCTCCCAAAAACTAGTTTAACAAATACCAAGGGAGACTGGCATTTGTTAAAACAGGTTCCAGAAGTTTCTCAACTACCAGAGACTCAGATTAAGTAAGTCTTGGATGGTACTTGAGAATCTAAATTTTAGTAAAAGATGGTCCTTGCCTTCAAGGATTTCACCGTCTTTCCAGTATCTTTTTTTGGTATCCAAATCAGTTCTTTTTGCCATTCTCTTCCTCTCACTGGTGGCCTTCTCCAGGGCACTCTCCCACCTTCCTTAATGACATCCACACTTGGTGCACAGGTGCAATTTCTATTCCTTTACCTGCCACTATGATTAAAGGATTACTACACTAATGGCCCCTCGAACACTATGGACTCAGGGTTTCTTGCCTTCAATTCTAACCATGTTCTCAGCTTTACTTCTGCTACCCATAAACAGGGACACAGCCTGATCACATCATTACTTAAAAATGTTCCACACATCCAGGATTTTGGCTTTAAAGTCCTATATGTATAACCTCTTCTCATCCTTTTACTTTTCCTACTACTTACTCACCCTGTGATACTGACTATACTTCCCACAGTTCATCATCACCTTCTGATCTCACTTGCCTTTCTGCCCTATCTGGACCCAAGCTCAATCAAAATCAGCCAGTTAGCCCAGGGTCTGGGCATTCAAAAAATATTTGTTGAATTAAATTAAATGTCAATAATGTTCTCACTAGAATACTCTTTCAGTCGACTCTGCAGTTACCCAGGGAGACCACTATAAGAACTGTGCTCTACTACAGTACTACTATTTCTAAATTATCAATAAGAACTTTAAAAACCTTACAACAGAGAACAAAAAAATGACTTCATATAATATTTAACATAAGCTTTGAAAAATGACACCTCACTTGAATTACCAACTTGTTACTTGACAAAATATGACATTGTATTCAATAAAGAGTGGCAAATACATCTTGAAATAACCTGATTAGTTATTGATTATCATAATTACCAAGATTCATCTGTTACTGTCAGTACTTTTAAAGTCTTATTCTATTAATGCTTTTAGCTCTGAACAGAAAGAGGGAGTTTGATAACAGGACAAAACTGCTAGCCTCCAATGACTCCAAAGAAGTTTTCCTGCATGACGTTAAGACAAAGCTGTTTTGCCTACAATGATTACTTGTAGGCCACATTAATAATACATAACCAGAATAAATATGTAACTCAAACAAACCACATAATAAGTTTGAGATACTCCCATTTCAGGGGAAACTTAAGCAGAAAATAAACATTAACAGAAGATTGTTGAGTCAATTATCTGTAAAATAATATATTTTATTAAGCTAAATAATATCCTAAAATAAAACAGAAATGATTTACCTGAAACGCCTCCCACGCTGCTGGTTCATTTTTGCTCGAGGAGCCACACCATCCACAGCCATAAAGAATACCTTCCTAGGTTTAATAATGCGAAACAACACCTCCAAGTAGTGAAAAATATCAGTAAAGATTTTATCATCTGAAATTCTGAAGTGAACATCATCATCATTAGGATGGGAGCATTGATGTATAATTCCATTCATATCGAGATACAAGTTGTCAAATTCAGGAATCTAAAAAACAAAGACAAATGCTTGAAATCATTAGTTATAATCAACCATTGACAGCAATTAGGGAAAGTGATTATTCAATGATGAAAAGCAAGATATAGGTATTCTAGTTATATAAAAACTGAGTTAATAATCACAGTTGAATAACAAAAGTAAAGAAAAAAACAGGAGAAAATGGTAATATAGAGACATATTATATGGCTATATAATGCACCAATGGCTTGATCAAATTTACTGCCAGGAAATTATCTAGTTATTCAAAGTAAGATATCCCAGGAAAACACCAAGTAAAGTGCTTGGTTCGCCTGATACTCAAAATGTTAGTTTCTTTCCTTTTTACTATTTGACATTAACTTCTCAAAGTTTCAATTTCCTGTGGGTAACATAATGCCCATTTAAATCAAAAGACTGCCTGTTCATGGTTATTGAAAGGTTTCACATGATTTAAAGTCCTACTATACCTGGGCTCGGTGGCTCAGCCCGTAACCCCGCACCTTGGGAGGTTGAGGTGAGTGGATTGCCTGAGCCCACGGGTTCGAGAACTACCTGGGCAACTTGGTGAGACTTCATCTCTACAATAAATCAAAAAATGAGCCGGGCGTGGTAGCACGCACCTGTAGTTCCAGCTACTTGGAAGGCTGAGGCGGAAGGATCACCGGAGCCCAGCAGGTCGAGGCTGCGGTGGCCAGGAGCGGCCACTGCACTCTAGGCTGGGTGACAGAGTGAGACTCCAACTAAAAAAAAAAAGTCCTGCTGTATATTTAGTTTCACTGAAACATAGTCACCTATTAGTTATATTGATTTTTAAAAGCTTAGATTATGTCAAGAGATTTATGAAACCTGGAAAACTGATGTCTTGTTTGTGATATGTGGATTCAGTAATTTCTAAAGTTTGACTAACAGGCACCTGTTTTGATAAAAACATCATAATGGCTCTGGCTCTCATTTATTTTTCCGCTATTTAAATGCTTGTGAGCAAGTAAATGGAACACCGACAAGAAACTGAAATGAACACAACTAAATAGTTATGATATCTAGTATAATCAAGGAACTTTAGAATAGAGTCTGTCTTATATACTAAAGAAAATTACTTTGAATTTTCAAACATAGAAACCAAATGGGCTTTCCTTGTATAAATGTAACAAAAATCACTTCTGAAAGTGATTCAAGTCTTACAACATGTACAGGTAACAATACACTGTCCTAGTATTGAGAAAATGGCATGCTTTTGGGTTTGGGTGGGGGAAACTTTAGGTCTTTGATTCAACGAACAACATGAAAACATAATATACTGTATTATACTAAACAACATACATATTTTTAAATGTTCTAACAGAATAACAGACAGGTCCAACTAAAATCACAATTGTAATCATGAGACTTTTTTTTTTTTTTTAAGTCAGAGTCTTACTCTGTCACCCAGGCTCCCAATAGTCTGGGAGTGGCCACTGCCACTCCAGCATCAACCTGGTAGGCTCCAGCAATCCTTTCACCTCTTCCAAGTAGCTGGAACTACAGGTGTGCACTACCACTCCTGGCTAATTTTTAAAAATATATATATTGTAGAAACGAGGTCTCACCAAGTTGCCCAGGCTGGTCTTGAACTCCTGGGCTCAGACAATCCTCTTGTCTTGGCCTCCCAAAGTGCTGGGATTACAGGCTTGAGCCACCAGATCCAGCTAATCATGAGATTTAAAAATTGCATTTACGATTTACTATTTGTTTTTTAAAAATCTGAAAAACTCCCAATATTTCAATGTGATTTTTTTTTTTGAGTTGGAGTCTCACTCTGTCACCCAGACTGGAGTGCAGTGGCTGCTCCGGGCCACTGCAGCCTCGACCTGCTGGGCTTCAGCGATCCTTCCGCCTCTGCCGTCCAAGTAGCTGGAACTACAGGTGTGCGCTACCATGCCCGGCTAATTTTTTTATTTATTGTAGAGATGAGGTCTCGCTGCCCAGGCGGGTCTTGAACCTGCGGGCTCAGGCAATCCACTCACCTCAGACTCCCAAAGGCACGGGATTACAGGCTGAGCCACCGAGCCTGGCTCAATGTGATTTTTTTGTGTGTGAAGGAGTATTTAATAAAATGATTCCAAAGTTTCCTCAAGAGAATAAATTTGCAATCATAGCCAGGAAAAATATTAAAACGAAGAGTACAGAAGGAAATTTGCCTTAGATGAATTAAAAGTTATAAAACAGACAGTTTGATTGAACCACTTTGGAACAGTCCAAGTATATATAAAAATTTAGTCCATAAGAAGCATTTCAAAGAGATAGGGTATCTACTTAACTATCTGGAGACAAAACAAAATTTCATCTTTCTAATAAAATAAATTATAGAAGGATTATACATTTTACTGTTAGGGTAGGAAAAGCCAGAAATCATACAGCAAACAAATGGTGGAGTTGGCTATCTAAAAATGCATTGTTTTAAATCTACAGTGTTAAAAAAAAAGTACCATGAACAAATTCAATTAAAAATGACATAGTGTAGGGAAATGTTTGCAAATTAAGATGGAGTCAACATCCCTAATATATGAAAAAATTTTCAAATATAAGAAAAAGAGCAAAATGCTAAGGTAATCATAGAAAATGCTAAAGTAATCATAGAAAATGCAAAGCCATTCAAAAGAGAATTACACAAAAGTCTAATAAGCATACAAAAAATGTCTGCCAAACCAAAATTTCAAATTAAAATGATACATCATTTTCCCTACATCTTAGTAAGGACTACAGAGACTGTTGTCACCCAATACTGAAAAGGTTTTGGAAAAATGCCTATTTCATATATTATTAAAAGCAACAGCTGGCATTTATTATGTACTTATTAGGTAACAAACATCAGGCTAAATATTTACATTCACTCTATCACTTTATTATAACAGTCTTAAAAGATAAATACTTAGCATTCCCATCTTAGAGAAGAGGAAAGTCACAGAGTTAGAAAAGAAAAATGAGATTTGTACCCAACAGTCTGGGAGGGGAAAATAAACTGGTTTAACTAATCTAAAAGTATACATTAAATCTGAAATGTATATTTTAGAGACAGGATTTCTACTATTGGAAATTCATCCTGAAAAATAATAAAAAATGATTAACTTATAAAAATGTAAGTACAAAAATATTCATGGCAGTGTTGTTCAGAAAAAATAAAAACAGAAAATTGACGACAGCATAGTCATACAATGGAATACAACAGAGCCGTTACAAATTATTACACAGATTCATATTTGGCACGGAATAATGTGCATAATATATATAGCAAAGTGATGAAAGTAGGGTATAAAACAGCAGGGTTTTTGTTTTTTTTTTTTGAGTTGAGGTCTCCTTCTGTCGCCCAGGTTGGAGTACAGTAGTACACTCACAGCTCACTGTAGCCTCTATCTCCTGGGTTTGGGCACTCTTTCTGCATCAGCCTCACCATAGCTGGGACTACAGGCATGTGCCACCATGCTTGGCTAATTTTTTAAAAATTTTTTTGTAGAGAAGAGGCCTCACTATGTTGCCTAGACTATTCTTGAACTCCTGGGCTCAAGCAATCCTTCTGCCTCAGCCTCCCAAAGACCTGAGATTATGATATGAGTCACCATGCCCAGCCAGCAGGTATATTATTATCCTATTTATAGAAAATATTTATTTACATATATACCTGCACAGAAAAATGTGGGCATATATAGAAAGTAGACATTACTAGAGGTTAACCCTGAATTATGAAAGCCTCTTACGTTCCTCTAGATTATATAATAGTTTTTACATCTTTCTGTATTAATCTGAATTTTGAAAATAATAAGCACATATTAATTCATAACTTTAAAAATCCACTATGATTTTCCCTTTAGAAAAATTATTTTGGGTTTCATATTAGTGAGAAAGACACAGAATGATTTAAGTAATCATTGGCTAGTGTGTTGTATAAAGTAAGAAACTGCAGAATTTTGCCCCATACAAAGAGATTACTGATAATGTAGTTTCTTCTCCCAGAGTTATTACATCTACAAGTTAGAAATTTCAAAGTAATTTTATACTTTCCTCCTACTCCAATCCCTCATCTAATTAGTTTCTGAGGCATTTTATATTTTAATTTAACATCCAAGCCGGCCTTGGTGGCTCAGCCTATAATCCCGCGCCTTTGGGAGGCTGAGGTGAGTGGATTGCCTGAGCCCGTGGGTTCGAGACCCGCCTGGGCAGCGAGACTTCATTTCTACAATAATAAAAAAAAAAAATCAGCCAGGCGTGGTAGCGTGCGCCTGTAGTTCCAGCTACTTGGAAGGCTGAGGCGGAAGGATCGCCGGAGTCCAGCAGGTCGAGGCTGCAGTGGCCGGGCAACAGAGTGAGATTACAACTCAAAAAAAAAATTTTAAAAAAATTTAACATCCAAAACATTTCTAAAATCATATCCATTCCTATTGTTTTAGGTAGTCTCACTTTCTTCTCCATCCCCAGATCTCCTGCATTGGTTCATGTCCTCAGTTTTCTAACTGGACTGATGATTCCAATTTTCTCCCTCACCACAGCTGAGCCATTTTTCTAAAACCACTTTTCAAAATCTGTTCATGTAGTTTCCTTACTTAAACCTGTAGATACTACAGGTCCTTAATAAAAGATCCTGAATAGGCCGGGCTCGGTGGCTCAGCCTGAAATCCCGGGCTTTGGGAGGCTGAGGTGAATGGATTGCCCGAACCCGCGGGTTTGAGATTCACCTGGGCAACTTGGTGAGACCTCATCTCTACAATAAATCAAAAAATTAGCAGGGCGCGTGGTGGTGCATGCCTGTAATTCCAGCTACTTGGAAGGCTAAGGCGGAAGAATTGCCGGAGCCCAGCGAGTTGAGGCTGTGGTGGCCGGGAGCATGCCACTGCACTCCAGTCTGGGTGACAGCGTGAGACTCCAACTCAAAAAAAAAAAATAACTAAACAACAAAAGATCCTGAATAATTTGGTTATTTTTTCCCCACTATTCCCATGTTCTTTTCTGTTTCTACATATATTTTATAAGCTCACTAT